TCGTGGCTTTTAATGTCCAACGAATTCCTTAGGTCAGACAACCCACTTGGCAGCTGAGAGAGAGAAAGAATAAAAGGACAAAACAGTTTGTTATCCAGCTGGAAACAAGGATGACTAGTCATCTGAGAAACGGATGACTAGTCATCATTTTATGAAGACTGTTTAATGTAATGATATGCAATGCTCAATACCTTTGTCAAATTGCTTGAGCCACCATAGAGCAGAGATTAGAGAAGAGCACCAATAAAAGTTTTCCCTAATCTAGACTTGAGCTTGATAAATTACATTACACATCCTATTACAAAGTTGTCAAGGGAAGCCAAAAGAAAATAGTAAAAACCATACATTAACAGATCATCGTAAGGCTCTACATTTCTCGCTGCATATATCTGCTAATGGATCTAGGGTTTCATTTAAATTTATGATTTGCTCTATGAATTCTTTCCCTTTAGTTTTTGTGGATTTTCTGTATTTATTCCTCAATGTATCTTGTATTGCAAGATTCTGTCATTGTCATTTATTTATTAGGAGATTAAAAATATTGTTTTCCGTTTGGTATATATAACGTTGTTTTATTATGTTCATAATGGTTATTGCAGTCTGAAAAATGTCAGGAATTTACATCGTCGGAGCTGTCTTGGGAACCTTTGGGCTTACATATGTTTTGGACAAGGTTGTTTCTGACAAAAAGTTATTCGGAGGTAGAGTTTTGATGATAAAGTTGCTTGATGATACTGTGTTTATATGAAAATGAAATAATTTAACCTAGATGATAAATAACCAGGCAATACTCCAGTGACCATTTCGAAGGAATGGCAAGAAGAAACTGAGAAGAAGTTACAGGCTTGGCCTCGCACTGCAGCATCTCCTGTTGTCATCAACCCTATCTCTCGCCAGAATTTCATTGTCAAATCCACCTCTAAATAGGCCTCATAATATGCTCAGCTCAGTTGATTTTTTTTTTCTTTTTCTTCATTTTTTTCTTTCTTTTCATTCTTTGGCCTTGTAAGTCATGCTAATAAATATATGTTACTGATACAAAACGGTGACAGGAAAATATTTCCGTCGAAGGAATTAATTTTTTGAGACAGAAATATTTTTTTGGCTATTTGTTCTTTAGAATGTGAATTACCTGTTAGCTTTTTGTTCAGATTTAAAGGTCTATATGTTTCTCAGATAAACATGATTTTAAACGTTGGAACTCTAATTGACATTTGAATATGTTATATATGGGTTGGAGATGCTCTAAGGTTCATTTTGCAAATGGTTGTTGGGACTGGTGGGCAGAGTTCTGCTGTTGGATTTGAGTAGCATCTCTTCAAAAGATATACTGACATTTGCTTGCCAAGAATTTTGGATTGGTTTGCTTCCTATGCATCGTCAATTGGCAATCATGAATCATCCATTACTTTATATATTTATCTTTATCGTAGTAGAATCAATCTTCCATTATACGGAAGGTTGTTGTGTGCCTGCCTGCCAAATGTGTGAAACCCTTCCAAAACCCCCTTGATTTTTGTGCACATGACTTGCTCCTAGCCCTGCTCGCTACTTTAACCCAAAATGTATCACCATTTTCAACACTTGATACATGTCCATATACATACTACCGTTAACTCATTGATATCTATATTTGTGGAACCATGATTATACTCATGGACATATGTCAATTATAGAATTAAGAAAGATAAAATGAATTGTTCCATAAAAATAGGACCCATATTTTGATTATTTTTTTATTTTACATTTTTTAATCCTGAAAATATAAATTTACAATATTATCCTCATTTATTTAATATTTTCAATTCTTAACATTATCATTAACAACCAATGGCATTTTTTAGTATTTTGAATGTTTTATCCTTTTGCTTTATAAATATAGATTCCAACCAGTTGACCTGTTCCATCAACTCAGTAGTAAAAAATGTTAATTAATCAGGATTTGGAGCCTTTATACGTTGTGCATTTACCTGCATTTTGCGACATCTAGATCATTCTAATAATTTAACGGTCCAAGATACGACACTTCATTTTTAACTTTTGACACCTATCTATTTAATTAAATTTAACCCTAACACTGTTAACTCTAATTATTATTTTGTTTTTAAAAGGCTAAATAATTTTTTTATTTATAAAAATCAATAGAGGAAAAACCACAAACCTATCATCAGCCACCAATGACCCACCTCCACTCACGGCAATCCCTTCCCTCCTCGTAGCCAAGCCAACCTCCCCTCCTCTTTAACCTCTTCTCTCTCTCATTTTAGTGAAGCATCATTTGCAAAATCGTCCATATTTTGCTTATTGTGCTTGGGTTTTGAGGAATTTGTAACTATGCATTTGTCTAAATTGATGCATGACTGAGCAACTATGACGGGGCTTCAATCTTGACATACAAAATTGGAATGTCCTAGTCCATATGCATATCGGTGAGAGGACCAGTTGCTAACCAAATCATTTGGTTGATGTCTTTGTATTCTTGCTAACTGGCGATGTCTTTCTATTCATGGAAGAGAGAGAGAGTTGTCAACGGTGAACGGTGGAGAGGGGTCGGGGCAGCAGTCGGAGTTGGGTAGGTGGGATGGCTGCTAGGTTTATAATTTTTTCTCTATTGTTCAGTTTAATTTGTTTATTTTAAATTAGAGTTAACAGTGTTAAGGTTAGATTAATTAAATAGATAGGTGTCAAAAGATTAAACGAAGAGTTGTATTTTGGACAATTAGATTATTATAATGGTCCAAATGTCCGAAATGCGGATAAATGTACGATATCTAAATGTAGAGGCTCGAGATCTAATTAATCGGTATGGCATGCCATTTTTACAGCTTTAATCGTTTAAAATGACACACATTTAAAGAATGAAAATATTTAAAAATTATATTTACAAAACAAAGCATTATAGTTTAAATACTTCGTTCACGATACACACAAGTCAACCAGTATGCGATACAATAACACAACAGACACAATATATTAATAGGAATTGCCATCCCCATTATGCATGGCTTACTCATGTTTAAGAGTTTGCAGTTGGAGTTGGCACTGATCAGTCCGTAGAAGCATAACCGAAAAATTGTATGGAGTCATCACAATGTTTTTCTTTTTGTTTGTATCAATAAAGGAGGGTGTTCAACTTAAGACCTCTTAGAGCACTTCTACCATTGAGGGGGAGTCCTGGCAAGAGGGGGCCCAAGCAACTAAAGGTAGCTCTAGAGCAAGAGTTCCAGCTCGGACAAACAGTGGCCCAGCAATCTGGGCAAGCCCACAGGTAAGTTTAGCTTGAGCTGCTATAATGACGTCAGCAATAAAAAAATTGAAAACAAAAAACAAAAAACTTCATATTTTTTTTATAAATACCTAGTCATATTTTTTACTTCCCACACGAAAAACTCTATACAAATTCATTTCCTCATATCTCATGTGATTAGTAATTGCCTTTATCCTCGCCTATAGGGGTGGAAACAAAATTGTAAGAGTTGCCACTATTCACGTGAATATTAAGTTGGTGGATCACAATGTCTATCTGTACCACTACTACAAAAATCATCAAAGGCCACAGGCATAAGGGCACACATACAATATTGTGCCCTCCTTTAAGTTATATTTGTGCTCTTTTTTTTTTTTTGGGTATAAAACACAAATATTTGTGATAAATTCAAGCACATAGGGCACGATTTTAAATTACGCACAATAATTCATGCCCTATGCATTGTGCCTCTTGTGATTGAGTCTGATTCTCTGTTGGTGGTTCATAAGGTTAAGAGTGATGAGGAGTGTCTTGCTGCTGAGGGTGCTTTGGTGGAAGGGGTACGTCGTCTTCTTGCCAATCATGAGTCATCTGCTGTTAGGGATACCCCTCGTCATGCGAATGGGGCTGCCCATTGCATTGCCCGTTTCAGTCTTCGTGATCAAGGTCTATCGTGTTGGATGAATGTGGGTCCTTTATGGCTCATGGAAAAGTACCCACATCCATGACCCGTTCTTCAGAAAAAGTAAGTGAATTATTTGGAGAGACACAAAACATTTGGGTCTTTATCTCTGACAGATGTGACATGTACTAGACACAAAAACTATTTTATGCCCAATACTTTATTATAATTTAGATGTGAAGTAATTTTTTATTTTCAAACTCTGTTTTTATCTACCATACACAAAAATCATTTTGTGCCCAATAAGTTGTAATAATTTACATGTGAAGTAATTTTTTTTTTCTTTTCAAATTCTGTTTAATATTTCACGGCTTTTCTTATAGTGTGTTTGGATGAGAAAATTTAAAAGTACAAAGAATTTCTTAAATGATGAAATTAAAAATGATGAAAATTAATGTTATAGAATTTATAAAGTTTCTTGTTTGGGTGACAAATTTAAAACACGGAATTTAACCTTTATTTGTAAAGTTATCTTTTTTAAAAACTCAATCTCTCTTGAGATTTTAGAAATGACGACTTTTAAATAGAATTTAAAGTTGAGATTTATGATCTCCAAATTCCATGTTTTTTTCCCACGTAGAATTTCTAAATTTCTATGTTTTTTATATCCAAGCATGGGAATTAGTTCATGTCAATTTAGACATTCTGAGTTTTGTCAAAATCTCAAGTTTATTTCCCTCATCCAAACGCATCGTTAAAGTTTCTTATGTTCTTTTGTTTTGTGCTTTTTTGGCAACCCTCCACCTAAAGTTTAAGTTTAAAACTTTTGACCCAAGAAAATATCTCATCCATCACCCTACTTTTTTGAAGCCCTTTTTCTCTCCCCCTCTCCCTTCTCTCTGTGTCTTTGCTGCACCCATTTATTGAATTTCATTTTTGATTATATAGACTGAGCTTGATATAGTTAGGGCTAGTTCGACATTGTTGTACTGTGAAAATAATCGCTGTCAGATTTACTCTGAAAGAAATCAGTTGTGGGAGAAAACAGTTTGTCGTTTGGTAAACTTTTTGTTAAAAGTGTGTGGAGGCCCAAAAAATCCACGGTTGGGCCCGAATAAATTCCCGGTCCAAAACGACACATTATTGAGAAAAGACCCAATTTGGAGCACACAAAAGTCCACCATGCACGAGTCACACTCCACGCGCCATGCCAAATAAATAATCCGTTATGTTAGGAATCGAGATTAAGATTACAAAATGCATTAGCTCTGCAAATTCATGCTAATTATCCTGTCAAGTATCATAATTAAAAGCATGCCACGCGACATGCCATGCCTAGCAAGAATTATTCTTGCACACCCAACCACGCTATGAGCTGAAGTGGGCCCAAGCCACTCGAATGCCTAGAGCTTGCTTCAGTGGGTTGTGGTATGGATGATAATAGGTTGTCATGAGGCCTATTGATGGGCCGAGAAATGGAGGTTCCGGGTTGCTTGGGAGCCTTGAAACCCAAGCCCGTTTCTTAGGTCCAAATATGTGGGTAAGCACGAAGGAGAAAAATAGCCCATTATCTCAGCCAAAATAGCCCATTACCTCAGCCCAAAATGGTCTATTAAATTAACTAATATAGCCCAATACTTGATGAGATTAGCCCATTTATTTGATAAACCAGCCATTGTCCTAGAAGGCCCATGTAACTAAGATAAAGACCTGCAAAAGCCTCAGCACTTCGCTGAAAAACAAAAGCCATAAAGGGAGCTTGGAGGTCCACGTGCACAGATCCAGCACATGGGAAAGAATAAGTTCCAAGCAAAAAACATCTGAAGGACCAAAGGGTTTTATCGCGCAGGCTGCTAGGAAGAAGAGCACCTTTCGAACTAGCATGTATACCCATTTTTTTCCTTTATCAGATCTGGCCATGAAAGAGGGGAGGAAAGAAAGAAAAAGGGGATGGTTGAGAATAAGAGTTTTCCACTAAAGTGGCTGTGAGAAGAGCATTGAGCTCTCAAAATCCCAAATTTTATGCAAATAAGCAAAGTAGATTTCACCAAAATATGATGATTGAAGGGATGAGGGGAGAAAGGAAGGGAAAGACTTGGCCAAATTGGATAGAAGCCATTATGGTTTCTTGAAAAAGAGTGGCTTCCAATGGCTATAAATAAGGTCTCTTCTACTTAACAAACATCAACCACAACCGGAGAGCAAGCTTTCTCTCTTACTT